GGAGACGAAGTACTTTCGTGACTTGAGTGTGACCAGCTTCAATGAGGCGTCCTTCCGTTTAGCAGTCAGCGAGGTGACCACTGACAGCGAGTTGATAACCAAGATCAAAAGGCGTACAAGAGAGATCGAGAAGCAAAAACGATTTTCACAGTAATCCAGCGGCGTGCAGATAGCCGGCAGGCGAAAGCCAGGCGACAACAGAAGAAACAGTATCGCTGCTATTCGGAAGACAACGGTTTGCTGTGGTACCAGACTCCATCCGACGATGGTCCACGTATCATAGTGCCCAACGATGTGAAGTTAAGGCAGGTGGTCATCAGTGAGTGTCACGACTCCAGCTACGGGGGACATCCGGGATCGGAGCGGACGTACCTGACACTGGCTAGGAGATGGTACTGGACCAAGATGTTGAAGTCAATCCAATCGTACATTGCCGACTGTGAGCCTTGTCGACGGGATAAACCGAGGCTAACGAAGCCCCCGGGGCTGCTGGAACCATTACGTGTTTCCGACGAACGGTGGAGATCGATTTCGATGGACTTCATCACCGACTTGCCACGAACAAAGCGAGAAGTAGATTCCATCTGGGTCGTCGTCGACCGACTGACAAAGCGATGTCACTTTGTACCGACTACGAAGAAGGTAGACGCCGAAGGCGTTGCCCGCCTCTTCATCGTTCATATCTGGAAACTTCATGGAATGCCACCAAGCATTGTGTAGGACAGAGATAGGAAGTTCGTTTCGACGTTCTGGCAGCACGTCTTCAAATCAATCGGAACAACGCTCAAGATGCCAGTAGCACATCGAGCTCAAGGAGACGGCCAAACGGAGCGGATGAACAAGACACTTGAGGAATATTTGCGGTGCTTCGTGGGCCCTGTTCAAGACGACTGGGATATCGATCTTGCCAATGCTGAGTTCGCAGTGAATGCAACCGTGAACAGTAGTCTCACGATGGCGCCTTTCGAAGCTGATCTCGGATACGTCCCACTAAACCCGCTTCAACTTGCGGCGGAGAATCGTGGCAAGGTCCCCACAAGTCGACGTGGTGCTGAGTTCAACGAGCGACAAGCAGCTCTTCTTAGGCGGTGTCAGGAAACACTGGCGGAAGCGCAAGAGCGAATGCGCGATGTGTACGACCTAAACCGGGTGGAGCAAGTCTTCGAAGTTGGCGACCGAGTGTACTTGAGTACGAAACACTTAGATCGGAGACATACAGGGTTACCCAACTCAAGCAAGCTTGGTCCGAAGTGGATAGGTCCCTATACGGTGGTGGAGGATCCATAATCACGCGTACGAGCTCAACATCCAAGCCGGAAACAAACTTCATCCAGTCTCCAACACCGGATCTTTGAAGCCTTACAAGGACGCCACTCGGATGTCGAGTCCCCATGATGTCGTTCTAGCCGATGGCACAGTTGGACAACTCATCCAAACAATTCTCGGTAAACAGACTCACAAGCAACGAGCCCAATTTATTTTGGAGTGGGTGGGTGAGGAGAAACCCACTTGGGAGCCGGCCGAGAATCTCTCACAGGTCCTGGGTCTCATTGGAGACTTCGAAGCATCCAGGAGAAGGAAATGGCGAAGAAGATGAGCGACAAAGACAGGAGTAAAGGGGGACCGAGAGCCTACATGTATTCCCACATTACATTCCCTACAGTTTCTGCTGCTTCTTCCCGCGGCGAGCTTTCTTTCGATTTAGCCTGAACTTTCGTTTCCCGCGGCGGCAACAATACCCTGGATTCAGCTTCATCAATCCCATCCATTTGACCTTGTCGAGATACGCCAAGTTGGTCAAAGGTTCCGGGGTCACCGGCAGGTCAACGCCATCCAGTACGGAAACAACAGTGTCTGTGCCCTTCGCGAGAACAACAACGCAGTGTCCGACAAGGCCATCATCAATACTCGTGAGATACACTCCTTTACGCAGTGTTTGGCCAAACGTCTGGAACCGTTCCACATTCGTGTACGAAGCATCAAGTGGACTCTGGAAGAGAAGATCGTAATCCAACGGAAAATCGTTGCGCTGAAGAACGCGAAAGAATTCCGTAGCTTCCGCACGAGAAACTCCGTCGACAGTGCTTGGGTGATCACGCACGAAGTCCACCCATAGCTCCGTGGCCGTGGATGCAAGGCCGGTATCACCAAGGTGATAAAGCGCCGCGCGGAACGCGTCCATGAAGCATCCTCCAGCAGGAGAAGCCTGGTCACGGCGCGCAAAATACTTCTTGTAATAATAGGCGAAGCCACCTGGACACAGATCGTCACGCCATTGCATCACTTGATCCATGCGTCGAGCGAAGCGTTGGTCGAGTTGCTCTTCCCATACCCAGCTCAACTGAAGCGGGGTAATCTGCCGTTCCACCAGGAAGCAGCGATGCAGAGATTCACCGCGAACGTCGTGCAGCTGCTCAATATTGACTGGAGCCGAGTAATCCCATGGTGCCGCCGAGTCGTAGTGATTGACACGACCATTGGCGGGGGCTTCGCCGGAGCTGACGGTAAAGCATACGGGATGCCAGTCACCAGAGTCGACGCTGCGCTTCAAGCGATTAAGGGTACCAGCAGGTACTGTCTCCTCATCGCTGTCATCATCAAATAGGCCGCTCGCTGAGGGAGTGGAGGATGGTGGACGCGCCGCGTGCGGACCGTACGAGCCACCCTCCTCTGCTTCTTCATCGGAGCTGCCGAAGAGCGGACCACAATGCAGCTCCTTCAAGCGATTTAAAATTGACACGCTAGACACGTCTGACGCCACCGAAGCATCGTCCAGAGGTGATATTGGCGCGGTGTTCAGCGCAGACGGCGGAGAAACTGCGGACGGAGCAGAAGCGGGCGAGGCCGCTGAAGACTCAACAGGAGACGGAGGCGACGGCGGCGACGGTAGCTGCGGCGACGATGAAGGTGACGGTAGCGGAGGTGACGGTGGTGGCGACGGTGAAGCGGGCTGCGCTGTAGCCTGACGTTTTGCGGCCGTTCCCAATAACGGCCCGGCCAAAGAGGCGCGTGCCAGCCGTGACGTAGTCGCACGGAGCTCAGCAGTAGACTGGAGCTCCACCAAGAGATCACCAGAGGAAGCAGGCGGGCGTGATGAAGCCATAGTGACCGCTCCGAGCTGGAACCCACTCAATTCCAGTGAAGCCAGGCCCGAACGCGAAGATGGCATCGGCTCGAGCGAGTCCCTGTTGAGACGGCCGTCTTCGCCGTCCGCTGTGATTTTTCGAGAATGAATGCTATGAAGAGGCGGCGGTTGCCAGAGGGTAGTGCTGTCGTTTCATTTTGTTAACCTCCGTTAGCAAACCGCTATGCTAACAGCATCCCAATACCTCCGGCACCTTCTTCAACATTCGTTTGCCTACGTTAACCTCCGCCATTACAAACTTTAAGCTTAAATATGTAGTACGCATCTTTGAAGCTGAGACTGCAACGAGGTCTGCACGGCGCGGACCTTGACCATGCTTCCGAGTCGCTATGATGGACGTCTCGATCTTGGCCTTTAACGCAAAGGCTTCGAGAGAAGGACGCCTCACTTTCGAACGCGATGGACGAACACATGTGAATCAACTGATGAAAAAGCTACACGACCAAATCTTCGCAGGTGCTTTCTGCTCTTAAGCTGACATCGAGTGCTTGTTTGACCGATACATTTTTCGTTGTTATAGCTGTAGCAACGGAGTATTACTAATAGTAGTTGGCTAGCGCTGCTCTTGTAGACGCTTGCCTTCTTGGCTCGGCTTGACGAAGTGGCACGCTCCACGATTTCGGCCATCGACGCGTAGCTTTTGACGTCCTGTTTCAGTAGTGCAATTAAGCCTTCTGTGCAATGTTGTCTAGAATCAGCGGCATTTCCTTGGTTGGTTTGACAGATGCAGACACTGAGTCCTCTCACGCCAGCGCTATTTCTTCAATGAAATTCTTGGTCAGCGATAAATGTGTCGGGACCTCACCGTGTTTCTCGACGCACTACAAATTCACGATCTACAGCTGAGGGATGTTGATGCAGTAAAGTATGTCGCCCATTTCATCTTTGTAGAGGAGCTAAGCGTCGATCTTCTGGTCTTGGCTCTTTGAGCGTAGCGCTTATAAATTATGACATCTCACAGCTGCATCCTTTGGTGAAGCGTCTACTTCACATCGTAAATTACCCTGACACATTTGTCTTGCCCACGCGGAACTTGCAGTGTGAATAAACTTCTCTTTAGAATGCTGGGCTTCCTCTAGCTACGTCTGCGCCCCCTCGTTCTTTGCGAAGCTCACATAATCCGACAGCTCAATCGTAAGCCTCTCGTGCGATCGAAGAGCACGCAGTCTGCTGAATCTGCCGATCTCATTGTCTTGTATCTGTGTGTGTTACCCTCGTCGTCGATGCTGGTCTGGAGCTGTCACATTTGCTACAGATACGACTTTAAAAGCTTCTTATCGTGCTTAAGCGCAGCGCATTTGAACTTCGAAATACGAGCTCACATTTTTTACTTCAAATGTGGACCACATTTATGGAGAAAACGCAAGTTTGAGGGTAAGCCAAAGAAGGTAATGAAACCTAGGTGGAGGCGTGGAGGTTCAGTAGGTTTCGAGTTTACGACGGCAAGGGAGGGTGAGTGTATCCGATTGGGTGATATTATTATCTTATTGCAATGGGTTGTTAGTAGTACTATGGAATGTATAGTATTGTATTAATAAACAGGCAGATGTAGGACGGCTGTGGAACCTTCTAGAATCTTCCATCCGCCTGAACTGCGGGGGCGGCACTTTTCTTTTGGCGCGCTCTCCCCCAAGCTCCCCTGACTTCGATTAATCTCCCGTTCGCACGTCTCTTCATTTTAAAACAACGGGATTGTGCGTTCAATTAAAAAAAAAAGCGCGGTCATAAATTCCACTTAAGTACGGTTTACGATACTGGACCAAAAATAACTAAAAAAATCGCTAAAGATTCCTGATTTCTGATTGGTCCGTGCGTTCCAATCACTTCATAGATCACTCGGTATCTGAGTTTTATCATGACGACCGACTCTACTGAGCACCAGCGCGTAAGCGAGCTGTTCGCCGAGGTGGTGAGCAGCTCCAAGTCCCTCGTGGGTGGCTACCTCTCCATCGACGCAGCATCTGACTCGGCTTCCGTGCAATTAATCTGGGACAAAACGGATCTGGTCAACAATGTGACGCACAAGTTCCAGACCCACCACCACGTGAGTTCCCTCACTCAAACGCAGCCAAAAGTGCTCGACACGGGGTTCCCCACCGACTGGTCCAGCGACTACACGAGCGTTTCGCCCTCGGGCAAGCGCGGGGTGACCCTCAAACTGGAGAAATCAAAGGGAGACAGCTCCGTCGAGGGAGTTTTCTGCGGTAATTATTTATTTGTTTAGTGTTTTTTTTTAATATGCTGATTTATATTATAAAACAATTATAAACAGTATTCGAGGCCAACAAGCTGGTGTCGTCGTTCAAAACGCCTAAGACACTTCATGGAGCCATTTACTTAGGAGAACGAGAAGGTGGCATCGCCTGGTCGCACGACGAGAAAACGATCGCGTATGTGGCGGAAAAGAAAGTGACCGAGTCTCCTGCGTTCTGGGAGAATATTAACAGCAAGAAGGAGAAGAAAGAAGACGACAAAGAGTCGAAAACCCCACTTCCGGGCTCGAAATTCGAGTACGTCGATGATTGGGGTGAACAATATGAAGGCAAGAAGACGGCGTCCATATTCCTCGCCACAGTGGCGACTGGAAAGATCGATCAAGTGAAAAATGTATCTGAGAATTTGACGTGTGCTGACGTGGCCTTTGTGCCTGGAGACAACGAACTGGTATTTGCCGCTACCGAGACGGACAATCCCAAACGTCTGGGCATCATTTACTGCTATAATCGACCAATTACACTGTATCACGCTGTGCTAAACAAAAAAGACCAGACCCAAATTGTGGTCACAAAATTGGAATTTATATCCAAGGACAAGGAGAGTGAAGAGATCGGGACGATGAGGAACCCGCGGTTCTCTCCGGACGGCAAACAATTGGCCTTCCTAGCGACACGAGACGTGGCTACTCATGGAACTTGCAGCTTCTTGTGTGTCATGGATTGGGACACCAAACAGACGTCGACGGTCATTCCCATCAAGGATGAACCTGACGCGTCGGAACTTGACGTCACGAAGGCGTTTAACGGACTTTTCATGGGGTCATTGCGTAAAAACGCGTGGTCTGAGGACGGGAAGTACATTTTAGTGGTGACTCAAGTGGGCTCTCGCGTACTCTGGAAGTACGTCGAAGTGGCCACGAAGACTCTGATATCTCCAGAGTACGTCGACGGCTCGGGAGTGGCTGTCGAGTCCGTACTAGACCGCAAAGACGACTATTATCTTGTCATGGTGTCGTCTCCTACTCGTCCTGCTAGTGTCTACCTCGTGCACATTGACCCAGCGACGGGGAAATATTTGAATGCTCCAATCATCCTTGATGACCAAAAAGGAGTCACGCAATATATTAAACGGTGGGAAGTGTATTCCATCCCCGCGTCGGTGTCCGATATACCTGCGGCAGACAAGAAACTACCAGGAACACCGTCGGTATTGAAAAATCTACTGATCCCGTCGACTTGTAGCTCGAGTGACTATGAAGCGACTGTCATGTTGCCTAGTAGTACTCCTCCAACTGACGGGTACCCCGTCATCTTGGAACTACATGGAGGACCACACGGCAACTCGCCGGTCATGTATCGACACATGTGTGACTTCTGGGCTGCTCTGGGCTTCGCTATCGTTACCGTCAACTATCGAGGAAGTACTGGCTTTGGTATCAAGGCGCTAGAGTCGTTGATCGGGAAAGTAGGCACACAGGATGTGTACGACTGTCACTATGCTCTATGCTACTTGTTAGAGAAAAGCTCGAGACTCGGTTTATCGCTCGATAAGTCGCGTGTGCACTGCTCTGGTGGGAGTCACGGAGGCTTCCTGGTTACGCACCTTATAGCGCAGTTCCCGGGCTTTTATAAGTCCATGGTTACGCGTAACCCCGTCACCAACTTGTCCAGTGTGTTCTACACATCGGATATTCAAGACTGGGGTCTGGCATGTGCAGGTATCCAGAGGTTCGAGTCTATTCACACGTCTCAGAAACTTCAGAACTCTAAGGATAAACTACCTCCTCTGAGTCCGGACGCTCGTCTTGCGATCCTAAGTAAACTGTGGCAGCATTCGCCTGTTAGCAACGACCTCAGTAAGGTCACGACTCCTTCTCTCTTCGGACTGGGTGGGAAAGATAAGCGCGTGCCGCCAAACCAAGGACTCGAGTACCGTGCGACCATTTCAAGCTACGGAGTGCCGACGCAGCTTCTGTGGTACCCAGAGGACTCCCACCCGTTGGGATCCGTGGAGGCGACTGGAGATTTTGCGGTCAACTGGGGACTGTGGCTGCTTAAGCATAACCCCAAGTAACTTGCACAAAGAAATCAGCGTAGGTTGCGGGTTAAGAATTGCAATCATGTGTGAGAAATGTGTGGCTTAACTCTTGCTCAAGCATAACGAGTTGGCTGCATTAGCTCTTTACATGTATAACTTCCCTAACAACTCCCACGCTGTTCAACATGTACTTCACTTATAACGCAACAATACAAATACTAAGATAAAATACTTTGGAGTAATACGAATGAAGTTTTCGAAGCTAAATTATACAGCAGTAGTAGCAAACCTTCGAGAAACGTCATTTACATTATTTCATGAGTAGTCATGTTTTAGTTCTATAGAAGTCTTAACTAATGCAGACAACCGAGAATGCCGAGTGCGTTCCTCTGAGTATATGCAAGACCCATTTGAGTCTGGGGCTTGGTTTTGTTGACATCGCGTCATATAGATTCTGGACCAAATACTCTGTTGGATTGCCGGTGTGGCAGACCCCCCCCAAACTTGGCCGGTTGAGTTTGCATTTGCGCTGGGAATAGCCTCCTGCGGATGTTACGCTTTAGGACGAGCTCTAGCGCTCAATATATCACGAAACCACTTCCTTTCGGTACCGGAAATAGCGCCAATCACTGAGAGTACCATGTGCGGGGTGGTTACTGACTCACCCCGCTCTGAAATCGGCAATCCGGTCACGTTGTCGCAACTCGACCCGCTAGAGTCATCGCGTTGAGCTTCATCACTTCGCAATTCATCTGCAACCCCAAAACCTCAGCTCATCCAGCGCTCACGTCCTCGATCTTCTGAAAATGACGAAAGCAGCTTCGAGACAGACGGCTACCAGCGCCGACGCCAACGTCAACACCAAAGGTGGTAAGAACACTCCTACCGCAGCGAACGCACCTGTGAAACCAGCCAGCGCTAAGGCAACCGCAGCAGCGACGCAGGCTGTCAAGTCTACTGCCACTGCCGAGGCAACTCCAACACGTGAAGTGCAGTTGGCAGGCAAGGCTAACACCAAGACCGCAAACGCTGGCAAGAACGCTAATGCCGGTAAGGCCCAGCCGGCAACGAAGGACGCGAACACCAAGGGCTCAAATGCCAATACGAGCGCCAACAAGCCTACAAACAAGGACGCCAACGCCAATAAGCAGCCAAAGACATCCAAGAACGGCAAGCCGAAGCAGCCCAACACAGTCGGTGTGAGTTTCGTGCTGCGTCTGGTGCTTGGTCTGGCACCGGAGAAACGCGCTTCATGTCAGCTTCTGCGTGAGATCGTGAGCCTCGAGAAGAGCGGTCGTATCGTGCTCACCTCGTCGAATAAGGGCCTTCAGCAGGTTATTGGCGGTTCTGCGAAGACTGACGACTGCGGAAAGCTCGACGACAACCAGATCCGCCAGATGACGCGACAGTCTCAGTCGGACAAGTTCCAGGAAGCCATGCAGCAGCTTGGTGGTGAACAACTGTACGATGGGATCCGAACTCTGCTTAAGGACGCTGGTGACGTGTCTGTGTGGGACGACACTAAAGACAAGTATGCGCTTCAGGAAAAGAACATCCGTCCGCGTGCCGGATCGGCTGATAAGAGTGTGAAGCCACAAAAAGAGACCACCAAGCAGCCAGTAAAGAAGAGCGCAGCTCCTCAAGTACAGAGCGTAAAGAAACACCAGTCGGATGGTGCCGAGAAGACGGCACAGACTCCACCACCGGCACCGGCGGCAATCAAGAAGGAAGACGCGTCGAAGAACAAGGGGAAGCAGTTGAAGAATGCTGCTCCCGAAAAGAATGCAGCTCTGGAGAAGAATGCGTCCCCATCAAAGAACGCCATGACGGGGAAGAACGTGACGCCTACAAGCACGCAGAAATCTGGTGCCATCGTGAGCGGTGCGCGTGGCGGCCGGGCTGTTGTTTCGAAGGCTAATTAGAGTCCTAATCCGAGTGTACGAACTGCGATCTTTAGCTAGTACTGGATTCCGAAGAAGCATTTGCCGAATAATATAAAAAACACGAATAACTTTCATGCATGCCGCAGTGACTTATCCTACAATTACTACAGTAACGTAAGCTCTTAGCTTAGTTATGAGGTAACCCTCATCACTGATATTAGCTTCATGTATCGATCGATCAATTGTTGCCTGCATTACCAACTTTTCAGTGCCCCCTTCGCATTTCGCCACCTGAAACGTATGAAAATCGGCTCGGTATTGCGTCTCTTTGTAACAGGCACGAATCATAATTCAACTTCAGTTTCGATCAGGTGAGGCTGCCGAAGATGTCGATCGGGCGTCTGGTGGCTCAAGCTTAACCGTTCTGCCACGAAAGCGTGCAAAACGAGTCGACAAGAGAGAGGCCGCGTTACATAGGAGCATTTGAGTGTTAAGAAGATTCGAAAGGACTGGGATGAATATATTACAGGGTAGGGTGGAAGCAGTCAGAAGGAATTTTTTTAAGCAAGCTCTCTTCCTTTGTCATTTTAAGTAAACAAATAGCCAATTAGTCCTAATTTTGCGTAATTGAGTTACAAGTATTAGGTAGCAATAAACAATTCATTGTAGCTAAGTCAAACTGTTTTTATTTTTTTGATAGAATTCTTTAAATAATATGAGCTATTAATTGAGCAATTAATATTGAGAGTGGATTGTGTGCCCATCTGTCGTTTTTACGCCGCCATTTTTGGCATTTTGCTGCTTAATCCGGACCGCGTATACCTATATACTTCGAAAATGTGTGGTTCACCCCCATTTAAGCGCGGTGAGGCTGCACGCCGGGCGCCAAAACGAAGGCTGGAAGCGACGAAAGCGATGATAGCAATTTAAAAAAAGAGTGGACGATGCCTTCTCGAGGAACGAACACCCATACATTGGACACCTCTAGTCAGTTCGACACTCAGAGCTATCGGGGCGATGATGGCGACCATACAACAGACACGACTGTCTCTCAAGCACTTGCCCCTCCACTTGAGCGCACGAGGTTTGACTGTGGGGAGTCATTTCATTCTTACTTGAATGAATACAGCGCGATGACGTACCAGGTTTGCTACGCTGCTAACATTTAAGTGTTGGCTTCCTTTTACTAACTGCAAAATCAAAATGTCTTACAGAGTTTTTGCGTGCGCCCGAACAACAAAGTGG